GTCCGAGGTAGACGGAATCCAACCCAGTTCCATCAGCTCGAGTGAAAACCGAGTGAAGTCTATTTTATTATTTGTCATATTTTTGGTTATATTGTATTGTAAAGTTTGACATTTGAGTATAAAAGAATGTAAATGTGTTGGTATAATATCATAGTCTAATAATTAGGCGGACTAACACAAAACCAACCGCTTATTTTAATTTTATAATACCTACGTTATAGAAAATAATAATTTTTAATAATGTGCTTAATTTTCTGTTTAGAAATTGAAAAAAACAGAGATTTTGGAAGCAAGATGCCTGTACTGCAAAAACCAAGTATGTAAGAACAGAATATAAAAACAAAAGTCAATAGAATGATAACCTAAATAAAATGAGGCAGCCGCACTCGCATGATACATCTCAAACGAGCGTGATTAGGTAGATGAGATTATGAGAAGACCAAATCATTTTTCATTCATGCCCATTTAGACACAACATTGGATAATTTTTCAATTTTAAATTATACAAAAAACTCCCAATCATAATTCATATCGCTATCTCAATATAAATCATCCTCCTTTAGATATCTTGACGTCGCAATCAAGAAACTAAGATGATCTAATGGGCCGGTTAGCGGGCCCACCCTTTTGCACACCCAGGACTTTCATTAAAAAATTCAAGATTAAACAAATAAATTTTTGAGCGCATGCCTTGGTCTTTGTCTTCGTCGACTGCCTTAAGAACCAAGGGACTGTTACAGATCTTCATGTCCAAAGAATTAAGCAGAGCAAGTATGTGACATTAGGGGGCGATTGGAAGTGATTTTTTATTTATTTATTTATTTATTTATTTATTTATTTTTAACTCAAACTCACTCAATCAATCATTTGCAAATTTTTAACTCAAAATCTAGTTCAAACTTAATTCAGTATAATTTCTCTCAATATTATTAATATAATTAAATAATATCAATCAGTCTTACTCACAAATTATTTTTCCACTCATATAATTTTAACTACTCATCACTTCCAATCGCCTTTCTCCTACTTTTACATCATATAAACTTTTATCATTATATTTTAAATATTATTTTAATACAAACTTAAAATCTCACTCATCAATCATGCATTCAATGAACTTTATTCAAAATAACTCATTTTATCCATTAAATCAAAATAAATCTAAAATAACCCATTTCCATTCACCCTCTAAGAGCTTGCTTGTTACAAATACTCTCAACTTCAAATCTAATTTAACTTTAACTTAATCTCATTGTTCATAATATTATCAAGATACTTAAATAATATCAATCAACAATCTTTATCACATCAATTTTAATTCACTATTCATCCACTCACATAATTTTAACCATCTATCACTTCCAATCATCTATCTCTTACTTTTATATCAAATCAATTGTATTCATTTTATTTTAAATATTATTCTAATACAAACTTAAAATCCGACTACAAACTTATCATACTATTTATTTTCAAAATTAACTTTGTTTGACAGAAAAAAAAAAAAATCGATCAAATACCAATATATTTGTAAACAAACAAGCCCTAAATATGTGGAAAATTTGTATTGATTTTAATTACATGGGAGAAACTCCAATCGTATGAGATAGTTGTAGTTATTCTAGGTAGTTTCTTTTAATTAGAATTAAACAATTTATTACTAGTGACTAATAGACCCGTGCGAAACATAAGGAAACAATATTACGATTTTATATAAATTAAACATATAATTCCATTTGCAATTAGTAAAATCTGACTACTTGAAGATTTTAATTGTCAACAAATCGAGTGCAAGCGAAAAATGGTTTGCTTGGTTACGAAAATACCAAAAAATAAAAATAAACACCAATTTCAACTCAAAATCTAACTCTACTTTAATTTAATTTTACTATCATCAATATTATTCATGAGATTAAATAATATCATTCAATCATCATTACGATCACATCTGCTTTAACTCACTATTCATTCACTCACACAATTTTAACTAACTATATTTGTACATCAAATTAATTTTAATTATTTTGTTTAAAATATTATTAAAATACAAACTTAAAATTTGAGTAAAAACTAATCACACTAACTTTTTCAAAATTATAAAGAAAAAAAATCAATCAAATATCATTATATCTATAAATAAGTAAGCAGCTGATAAAATTTGATTTCGCTATTTATTGGTGATTTATTCCTTTTCCAAGTTACGAAATTATTACTACTTTTTGTTTCCTTAACATCAGAAAAGAATCAAGCAAAACGAAATTAACTGAAGAAACATAGTAAATCATAATAGAACCGTTACTTTATTAAAGTGGAAACAGGTGACTGATGATACACATAAGGAAAAACGAAAATTTAAATGAAGACGAGGAGAAACAAAACAGCATTCTTAATTNGGCCTCAAATACGCAGCCATATGCAAATGAAGCAGAGAGAGAGAGAGAGAGAGAGAGAGAGAGAGAGAGAGATGGTAGTTGTAGGAGATCAAAACACAAATGGATGAAGCAAGACAAGAAAATTTATCAATATGTATGATTGAGGGGGAAAAGATGAAACAGAGAAAACAGAGAGGAAAAGAAGAAATGAGAATGGATGAAGCTTGTTCAGTGTTCTGGTTTGCGTGAATCATCGGAATCATCTTGATTACTAGTCGGGGGGAAAGGAGGCAGATTTGGCGGCAACATAAGACTATTAGTAGGGTCAAAATTATCCCAAAAGTGGCTCCCCGGGCCCCACCCAGCCTCCGTCCACGCCTCTCCCATATCTCCCCAAACCAACTCTGAAGACGGGTTAGGGGCCACCGAAGAAGTGTCATCCCCTTCTCCTCCTCCTCCTCCTCCCGAGGGCCCGATTTCCGAACTCGGAGTTACCGATTCCGATTCCGATTCCGATTCCGGCCGAGCGCCGGCGAAGAGGTCCGGAAAGTTGAGCCGCGCGTTGTGTCCCCTGAGTTTGAAGGCCTCTCGGTCGTAAGCGAGGGCCGCGTCCTCTGCAGTGTTGAAGGTTCCGAGCCAGAGTCGGGTTCGATTTTTGGGGAGACGGATCTCGGCGACCCACTTGCCCCAGTGCCTCTGCCTCACTCCTCTGTACAACTTTGTCGGTGGCCGAGGCATCATCATCATCATTGTCGTGTGCGTGTGGGCCCGAGGGCTCAGGTTCAGGGTATTATTGTTTAAGTATAGAGATTGAGGAGGTGGGGCCCACCCGGTGAAATAAGGGGGGAAAGGGGTGGTGTGGTGTGGGGGAATGAATGATATCATCTGCTGCTGCTGTTGATGTTGATGTTGTTGTTGCTGTGGGGATGGGAAGAATGAGGTATTGGTGGTGGTGGTGTTGAGGGCGAAAGGGAATATAGGAGGAGGAGCACGTGAGGTTGAGGATTCGGCACTTGGTTTGCTACTATTCTCTTCTTCGTCTCTCTTCTTCACTTTACCTTTCCCTTTTGATGATGAATCCATTTGAGAGGACTTATGATAACAAGACAAAAAGATTGTGAAATTGGAATCAACCAAAAAAAAAAAAAANACCAAAAAAAAAAAAAAAGGTTTTTAAGTAAACTGGCTTGGAATGAAAACTCTACAAATGAGAGGAGAAAACGAGTAAGAAGGAAATTCTCCAACAATTCATCTACAAAAGAGGTAATTGTTCTACGACACACTGTTATTTATGCACGAGAGGGAGCGAGCGAGTGAGCGGCTAAATAGAGGAACAAATATGATGTTTTTTGTATTATTTTATTTTTATTTTATTTGGGAGTAGAAAAGCAGAGGAAGGATAAGGTGATATTTGGGAAATGAGATTGTGAGAATCTGGGAATTATATATTATTTATATATATGAGAGAGAGAGAGAGGTGTGAAAGAAAAAGAATACGTGTTGTGTTGTGTTGTATCGTATGGGGATGGTGGGGCTTATTGAAAATTTTGGTGGTGTTTATATGTGTGTGTGGGTTGTACGCGGAATTTTCTTTTATTGTTGTACTATACTTTCCTTCCTTTTACTCTAACCTTGTTTTTCTCCCCTTTCCGGCTTTCCCTACTTTTCTCCATGTACCAATCTGCCTTTTCTTTCGGCACTCATTTTCAATCCATACATATCAACCAATTTTTTCTCTCTTTATAGCGTCAAGTTCCATCGGTTGGAATTGGATTTGTCAGCTCATTGTTTAGAGTTCCTTGCTTAGTTCTTTAATCTCCTCTTCCTGAATCATAACTAGGTTGGGCTAGTGTTGAATTTTTAGTTCTCTTTGCCTTTATTTTATTTTCAGTTTGTTTGCATCTTTTTTTTAGTGATTTCCTTTATGTTCCCTTCCCCGTGTGTCTTGTGCCTTTGCTACCTCAATTTGGGCTTTGTTTTTTTATTCGGGGAAGTGCTAGAGGGGTGAGGAGTTTGTGGCTTTAACTTGGATTCTTGGTTAGTTAGTATGGGGCAATATCTCACTGAGAGATTCAAGAAGTTTGTTCTATGGAAAAGGAGAACCAAGTAGTGGAGTTATTGGAGCAATATATAGCCCTAGGTCTAAAGGATTGCCAACTAAGTATGATTAAAAAAATTTGAGACAAGAAGGCGAATTTCAATGGGCTAAAAGGTACAATGGGGGAAATCGGGTGAACATAGTTAAGGGACCGGAAAAGATCTCGTTAAGTGTAAGTCACGAATTAAATGTACAACAATAAACCTATGCGCAACGAATACTAAGTTTTAAAGTTGAATACTTATGACTTAAAATTCAAGGACTCAGAGACACTGTAGATTTCTGTTGATGGAGATCAGTTGATTTTTCACTCGTCGAAAATTGAACGTTGGGTTTCAGTTCGCGGGTAGTGCGCACAGGGCTCGAATTATCGTGGCTCATCGCGGAAGAAGCGCGACTGCATAAGCATGCATGACCGGGGCTTGCGGCTGCGTCTTGGATGCGGCTACTCGCTTGCGGCTGAGGCTCGTCGGGCACAGACAGGTGGTGCATGGGCTTGCGTCGGATGGCCAGGATGCCTCTTTAACCTCGGAGCCTTCTGCCGTATGACCCGACACCTCTCCAGTCGTCTTCGTGGAGCGATAAATCTCGGAGACGAAACTTAATCGGGAACTAGGGTCAACTTGCACGAGAGAGGCAGCTGTCTTATGCGTGAGTGATGTTTTTATTGGAATCTATAAGGATCGTCAGTAATGTGCAAGTTATAAATTTATCTACGAATTAACCTATGCGCAGCGGATCATAGGTTAACTTAGAGGACTTACAGCTCAAAATTTTACAGACTTTGAGACGTTGTAGATTTCCGTTGATGGAGATCGTCTGATTTTTCCACTCGCCCGAAATCGCCTCATCGAGGTCATCTCGGGTCGTCGCACGGTGGTGATCGAGCGGGTAGCGTGCTGCAGCGTGCTCGAGAGGAGGTCTCGCCGGGAACGAGTGGCTGGGAGCGCGCGAGTCGCGACATGATCAGGTCACTGAGAGCGCGCGGGTCGCCGTTGGCCTCAGGTCGCATCGCGGAGATCGTGCGGCTGGGGGTGCACTGCAGGACGGGATCGCGGTGGTCGCCGGTGGTGCGTGGTGGCTGATGGTGGTTGGGTGCTCGGCCGGCGGGTCGGGTGCTTGACTACCTTAAGGACTTTTATTGAATTGTCTAACACCTCTAGAACTCTCTAGGTGAGAAGGAATCTTGATATCTCTATCTGATGTATATCTTGGAAGACAAGAGAAGAGGTGTATTTATAGGCTTCAATAGGGACCCTAAGGAGACATTAAATTGGGTTTACCGTATTTTGGGCCAAACTGCGAGCCGAACCCACTTAGCCCAATAACGGATAATACAGTCATTCCACTAAAATAGTATTATTGAGAAATCCCAATTTAATTTCCTTCCTCGAATTACCTCCCCATGTTTAAGGTATAATGTCCATCAATTAATTTAGTTACTGACAATTAAATTAATCGACTACTTGAACTAAAGCCTGCACCGTTCAATACATTATTATTATGTCGGAGTTTAATCCACCTGCAGGGTTTAACATAATAATCCTTATGAATTCACTTCGGAAACATCATCAAACCTCAAGTATAGAAGTAAACGGTGACCGTAAATATTATAAATATGCACCATGTCATGTAGCGATCACTACCCAAAACATCTGGTTATTGATTGAGACAAAATGAGATTCACCACGAAGAATCAAAGCAATAACTACTACATAAATGTGTCTGTTTATATCTTACGGGTTAAGAGAACGTAATAACTAACTGAGGCCTAGTTCGTTTATGCCGATCTGTATAAAATGAATTGCTCTTCTCTGGGATCCTATTCAATACACCAATATGTACTAGTTCAACCAATCAGTCAAGATAAACTGTACAACTCACATTACAACCGTTTCGATGGCTTGTTCAGTTTCCATCTAGGTTGTGAACTAATTTATTTATGTTTTCCAAGTAACCGATAAATGATCTTCTGTCCATCCATGGTGAACAATTTATCTGAATGCAAAGCAATAGAACATAGAACTTTGTTTAATCAACATGAAATCCCATTCAACATAAATAGCGTGAATAATATCTACATCCAAGCTTTCAATATACACACTAACTATCTCCCACTTATACTTAAAGCTTCCGTTTTTCTAGTATACATCTTTCAATCCTTATTCTGAATGACTTATGTCGACGTCTCATCTCTCTACGATTTCTCGTATTAGGCGATATTTGCGCTCTATGTGTTTACTGGCCTTTTGGGCTTGTGGTTCTCTTGAGTATGCTACTGCACCATTGTTATCAAAAATAAATAGTGATAGCCTGTAGTAAACTCTGAATCACATCTAAGTCCAACAACCTCTTTCAGTGTTTCAGAAGCTACGACATACTCGGCTTCCATGGTGGAGTCTGCCACACATTTCTGCTTGGCACTCCTCCGTGAAATGGTTGCACCTCCCTGTGCAACCATATAATCTCAGATAGATTTACTTTTTTCTCAGTTTGACTGGAAGTCGGAATCGATGTAATCTAGCGGTAGCAAGCCGTCTGCATGATAAACTAACATGTACTCCTTAGTCCTTCTCAGGTGCTTGAGTATATGTTTTACCGCAGACCAATGTCCTGGGCTTGGATTACTTTGATATTTAGCAACCTCCTACGATGTAGCTAATATCAGGCCGTGTACACAGCATTGCATACATGAGGCTTCCAACAGCCGAAGCATAAGGAACTGCCTTCATGTCCTCTATCTCTTGTGGTGTCATGGGCGATGTAGCGCACCGTTCATTCTAAGTAAGAGAAATCTCGATTTATTTAATTTAGCATAAATTCGATGATTATTAAATAAACATATTAAAAATCAGATTTATTAATTCATAAAAATGATTTATTTAAGACATAATTATCATTAGCATTATTAATGTTATTATTAGTAATATAATTAAACATGCTTAATTTAAGTAATTAACCTTATTACTAGATAAGGAATATTAAAGGAAGAAGATTTAATAAGCAGTAAAATAAGAATTAAAAGGGAAAGAGATAACTAAAGTTTGAATAGAGATCCTGGTCTCCTAACCACTCCCACATTTCTCGGCCTCACCACCTCCATCTCTCAGCCACTTCCCCTACATCAGCCAACAAAATTTTCACCCTCAATCTCCCCTTGTTTAAGCCGCCATAAACGTCCAGCCTGACCTATTTTCCTCTACAAATCCACTCTCAAAATTTTCACAACTATCCCATGGCCAAGACTCGGATGAGACTAGCGCACCCGACCAACGAGTACCCAAATTGGATGAGACGAATTAACTGACACACGACCTGGAGTTAGCTGTTGTGGTCCATGCATAGAAGATATGGAGGCACTATCTCAACGGGGGGAAGTGTGAGATCTTTACGGACCACAAGAGTCTGAAGTATTTGTTCACGCAGAAAGAGTTGAACATGAGGTAGCGCAGATGTCTTAAGCTCGTGAAGGACTATGATTGCACGATTAGCTACCACCCTGGGAAAGCTAACCTGGTGGCCAATGCTCTTAGTCGGAATGCTCGAGGCGAGCTAACCTACATGATCACTCAACAGGAGCAGCTGATTCGAGAGTTTGCTTGATTAGAGATCGAGGTGGTAGAGTCATCTTCTGGAGCTAGTGGTATCTTATCATCATTAGTTGTTGGACCAACTCTGCAAGAGAGGAATGTTACCGCGCAGCCAATGGATAGATTCTTATGTCGTATGAGAGAGCTTCTCAAGCCGGCAAGGTGGGACGCTTCGCTGTCGCATGAGACCGGGCCTTAGTCTTTGAGCAGCGACTTCGTGTTCTGAAGGTGTTAGCACTGCGAAAAGAGATCCTAAAAGAGGCACACAACGCGTCGTACTCCGCCCATCCCAGGACTACGAAGATGTATCAAGATATGAAGAGGTCTTTTTGGTGGAGAGGATTGAAGAGAGATGTGGCGAGATTTGTAGACCGCTCTAGTGTGCCAGTAGATCA